CGCCGCCCGCGCCGCCCCGGCCCGTGCAGTGGTGGCACAGGATCTCCCCCTGCGGGCCCTTCTTCCACATGGAGGACGACGTGGTCTTGCAGACGCTGCAGGTGGGCTTCAGGCCCAGCGGCATGGTGGCCGGCTCGGGCGGCCCCCGCGGGCGGAGCGACACGGGAATGGCGGTCGCTTGTCCCGGCCGCCCTCAGGCGGGCCCGTCACCCAGACGACAGGAAGAGCGGGGAAGGCGAGGGCCGCGGGACGCGGAGTCGGCCGGCGCTGGGGATCCGGCTGCCACCACTGCCCCCTGCAGGCGGGCGGCAGGTCGCGGCCGCCCGGGGCCCAGGACGGGCCTGGGGGCGCGGGCGGGGCTGGAGGGGAGGGAAAGGGCGGGCGAGGGGCGGGGCCTGTCCTATCAGGGAAGGAACCTGAGAGGGCTTCCGGAAGTGGGCGGGGCCCTCGCCCCTGCCAGACGCACACCCCACTCCCTGACAGGAAGTGTCCCTCCCTCCTGCAGTTCCGCTGACGGTCGCCTAGGGGAGCAGTTCCCAAACTTCTCGGTAGAAGAGTTGAGTTGCCAGGTAGAAGGCAGGACGCTCTGCTAAATATGAATTTCAGATTTAAAAACATCGAATGTATTTTTCTTTAGTGTGAGTATCCCATGTAATAATCATTGACTGAAATTCACGTCCTGTGATTTTTATTTGCTACGTCTAACAACCTGACTGAGGTCGTCTTGATGCTTTTGAAAATTACAGTCTGAAACTCTCCACCCAATAGTTTTGTTTATGTGAGCTATGTCCACGGGAGTTTATATATTACAAGTTAAAATGCAAACATTCTTAACTCTTAAAATATAAAGCACGCATTTAGTAGGGCTTAAGGTGATGGTGCTATAGTGTATGTAGCTGCGACACCACTGAGAAAATGGGAGAGGAAAAGTCAAACAACTGGTTTAGCATTGCTGGTAAATAGTTCTGACCCTAAGGACTTGCTGAAAAGGACCTTGGATCACACTCCAGAACGAATGGCGGGCCTAGGACAAGCTATTACAAGAAGACAAATGGCCTCTATTAACATCACTAGTCAGAACGGATCTTTTCAAAGAGAGGAGTCTCTTCCCAGACTTACATATACCCTTCTTCGTGATCCTTGGATTCCTAAACCTAGCAGCCTTCGCTCAAGCTATTTGTCTTGTCTACCAATCATTCTTTATTCAAAAGGACATACAATAGCTTCTATTTCTTCTCTATTAGGTTCTCCTCCTCCTCTTCCACCTGCTAATATATCTTTTCTACCTACCAAGGTTTGCCTCCTTTTGTGCTTTAGCTCCAAATTATTCCTCCCATTCACTGAAAAGTTTGGACTCTAATTTACTACCTTCCTCTCCACCACAGAATATCATCCTTGGACTGGCCAAAATGCAATCTTCTTCTCAATTCCTTATCCCACTCAACTCCATGTTCTGTCCTGTTATGTTAGCTCCCCATACTCTGGTTGTAGCTTCTACCCTCTGTGATCATCAGAGAGAAATATCTTTTCAACCTTGTTAACTTCTCTGCAACCTAGGAAAATGAAAAACAATACATATGTGTGTATATATAATATGCAGTGTCCAACTCATACATTTGTAGCTTATTACAATGTAGTAACCACACTCAGGTAACTAAACTGAGAAACAGATGTGACTATTGCAAAAGCTATAGACTCCCACCTTCATGTACTTTATCCAGTTATAGTCGATATAATAACTTATAATAGTATCAATTTTGTAAATTCCCCCCATCAGGTAAAGGAAATTTCCTTCTATTCCTCTGCTCATCAAGAATATGGGGGTTGGAGAGTTAGCTCAGTGGAAGAGCACTTACCTGGCAAGGTCCTCAACTCTGAAAAAAAAAAAGCTAAAAAGAATCAAATGGTTCTTTCTCTCTCTCTTTCTCCCTCTCTCTCTCTGAGATGATTATGCTATTTCTGAATGTTAAATGAATATTTCAACACTTGAAATCAGTCAACCTTGGTTGTGATGGATTATCCTTTTTTTATATTGTGGTTTTGTTTACTACTGTTTTGTTTCAGATTTTTACATCTATGTTCAAGAGTGATATAGGCTTGTAATTTTCCTTCCTTGTAATATACTTGTCAGATTTTTGGTATGTCCACCAAGTTAGAACTTAGCAAGAAACTATTAGAGGTTATTAGGTACTGATACAAAAAAAACCCTCAGATATTAAGAAAAAATTTACAAAGTAGTGCATAGGGCAATATGATTATTTTGTGTAAATTTAAAAGTTCTCTGTGTTCCATATATTTATTAGAACTAATCAACTTTGGCAATTGATTTCAACAGGAGTGGCCACAGGGGATTTGATGTTGTTGGTTGTTGTTGTTTGGTCTGTCATGGAGCTTGAACTCAGGTCTGTCCCTAAGTTCTTTTTGCTCAAGGCTAGCACTATACGACTTTGAACCACAGCACCACTTCTGAATATCTGGTGGTTAATTGTAGATAAGAGTCTCATAAACTTTCCTACCTGGGCTGGCTTTAAACCACGATCCTCCAATTTAGTCTCTTGAGTTCCTAGAATTATAGGCATGAACCACTGGTGCACAGCTAAAGGGGAATATTTTAAGAAATCTTGCAGTCTTTTATATTACCTGACATCTTTTTCAGCTATACATGCATTACTTTAATTCTAAAAAGTAAAAATAAAAAGGAGGAGAAAATATCAAATGGAAGACATTTTTCACTTTAAACAACCTCCCCCCTTCCAAGAGACTGAATGAATGGTGGATGATACCTAGTTTAGGAACTGTCAGCTGATTCTCCTCTCTGAGCTCATTTCCTTGCTTGGAAAGCAAAGGTGATATCTCCTAGGTTGAGGCCTGTGAAAATATTATCAGTTATTGTGCATGTCACATAGTTCTCAATTAATGGGCTTTCTCCAAATAGCAGTAACTATAGTATCACAGACTCTACAAATAAGATAACTGAGCAGAGAAGGTGAGTAGAAGGTCAAATACAAAATGAGAGAAATGCGAAGGAGAAAAGAAGACTCCATCAGTGAAAGTATTGACCCAGTGCCCTTCTCCCTCAGCTAATGAATGCTTCAGGAAGACTATAAGCCACAGACCAGCCTTCCTGACATGCCAGGGGAGGAGTCTCATACTGATACAATATCTTAGAGTACATTTGTGCTACTATAGCAAATTACCTGAGACTTGGTGACTTATAAGGAACAGAAATACATATTCCTGATTTCTGGAGACTGGGAAGTCCAGGATGAGTTTTGGTGCATGGTGAAGGCTCACTCCTTCTGGATGACCATGTTGGTGTCCTTCCATGGTGTAAGGTGCATAAGATTGCTAATCCCATTCAGTACCGTTTCACTCTCACAATTCAGTATTATCACACTGGTGATGGGGCTGGGAAGGTGGCTCAGTGGTAGAGCGCTTGCCTTGCATGCATGAGGCCCTGGGTTCTATTCCTGAGCACCACATAAGCAGCAAAAGCCAGAAGTGATGCTGTGGCTCAAATGGTAAAGTGCTAGCCTTAAGTTGAAGAGCTCAAGGACAGTGCCAAGGCCCAGAGATCCGTCTCCATGACCATCCAAACAAAACCAGAAGCAAACAAACAAACAAAATCACTGGTGATTGTTTCGTGCCTATATGTGAGCAACTTGTTCAGGCCATAACACACACAATAAGAGATATTCAGCCTGGAGCCAGATAAAGGATTCAACTGGAGTACGTAGGCATTATTTACTATGCATGGGTTGTCTGAGCATATTGTGATTGTGATTGTGTGTATGTGTGTAAGTGTAAACAATAACAAGTACCTCCACATCTTAAAAATTCACAGTAAGTAAAAAGCATAAGGCAAGATTCCCCCAAGGAATTGTCAATGTCAGCATTTGGTCTTATTTGCATGATTTAAAATATTTCTTAATACTGTCAAGATTAAAAAAGAAACAACTGTATTAAATGTATCACAGGACTGGTTCACCAGTTTTGTTTCTAGGTGAGTATTGGACATTTAGAGGATTTCTTATAAATTTATATTTGGTTTACTCACTTGACAAATGAGAGTATCAAGAGAACATAACTCATAGAGTCAATGTGATTGAATGAGTTAGTACATGTGAGACTGTATCAGTAAATTTATATCAGTAAATGCCTAATCAGTGTCAAATATGAGGTTCATAAAAAGGATAGGGAAGAGAAGGAAGAAAAGACAGGAGAGGAGGAGAAGAAAGAGAAAGTAGAAGAGGAGGAAACAGCAGCAGCAGCAGCAGCAGCAACAGCAGGAGGAGCAGGAGGAGGAGGAGGAGGAAAAAGGAAGAGGAGGAATCATTCCTTTTAACCAGATTATGGTCATGTAATTAAAGTCTGACAGGTAATCATATAAATCATGTAAACTATACTTTGGGGGAAATGTAATTCCTCCATTTTCCTGCTAACATCAACAAACTAAAAAGACTAATGATTGAACAGAGAGAATGAAGGAGACTGATGAACTGTGAGAAGTTGAAGGGAAATCATGGCACCTCTGTCCTGTACTGCACATGTACCTTTCTTTTCCATGTTATAACCTGACAGATGAATTTCTGTGTAGAGTGTGCCCCATGGTGCCCTGCCTTATGCCTTTTAACTTAGTGTTCTCTACCTGAGATGTGCTTCCTCTCGCCCTTCACACCTGACCCTAACTATCTTTGAAAACCTATCTTAGGCCTATGATAGAAATTACGTTGCTGATTTCCTGACTCTTAAGTAGCTGTTCTTTTGGCTGGGGGGGGGGGTAGGGAGGGAGCTTCCCTCCTTCTACCTTAGATATGCACATTATAATATGGAGACAAAAAAGTATATCTTCATCCATTTTTGTGTTTCTTCCACTTTTCCATTCTTTGAATAGAGTGAACAGTGCTAATTAGCAGCTTAATGAAGATAATAAAAAAACAAACACTTTTTCTCAGCAACCACGTTGGACAAGTTTCCATTCCTGTACCCCTCACTGATGAGAAATTCTGGGGAAAGGGGGTTTCATGCTAACTGCTCCCTGTAGTCATCTGACTTCTCCTACTAAGCAGCCTGAAATCAGGTTTCTCCACAGCTTCTCATGGGCCTAGAGGCTACAGGTAGCAATCTCCCTCCAGCCATCAGAAAGACCTGCGCCTACTTTATCATAAATAAATGTTATGTCATTGAGACAATCATGCAGGGTATCTGGAGAATGCTCCCAGTGGGGTTTCTGAGCCTCTTCCTCCTGTAGAGACCAGCAACAGCAGGACCATGCTTCCTCCTGGATGGACAGAGTAAGTTTGCCCTCCTGCCCTCAACATGAATTGGAGATGCAGGTATAATCCCACTGCTAATCCCTACCCCTGAGACCCAGCACAAAGTGCATCAACCAACACACAGCTTGGCACATTGGACTTAACGCAGAGTCCCTCTCCCAGGCGCCAGCGTACCAGGTGCCAGCGTACCCAGCCCACTCCATGCTCCAACTGCCACTCCGTTAACTGTCACTCAGAACTCTGCTTTCCACCCTAGTACTTGCCAATCCTTTGGGTGACTGCTGGCCCAGAAGCCAGGAGATCCTTTTGAAGACCAGGTGAAGGATTCATTTTGTGATTCAGACACCAAACTAATGTAGTTTCCGAAAGGAAAATCAGTTGCCTTTGGTTTTGATTGCTTTGTGTGAGGGCCTTAAAAATCTTACTGGCTTTCCCCTTTCCAATTTGCAGGACACGGGAGAAGAAACCAGATTGGTTATTTGAGCATCTTTTTGCCACAGCTTTAGGTGGAGTTTTCTCAGAGGAGGTCTAGACTTTATCACAAAGAGAAACATTTCATTTTTCTCTACAAAATGTAAACACATTTGCTATTATAAGAAATAAATATTCATTGTAAAAAAAAGATGCAGTATAGAGTGTATTCCACAACTCTGCTGTATCACAAACAACCATCTGCACAATTTGTAGTATATCTCTCCAGTCCCTGGGAGTGTATGTGTAAAAGATGAATGCGATTGAAATATTATTCTCAAATCTTTTTACATTCAAAAGTATATATGACAGTGAACTTTCATATCTGCTTCCATGTGGCACTCTCCTATGTCAAATGAGCCATTTCCCGGCTTCCTGTTAGATGGCTGCAAATTTCGTGTAATTAGGAGTGATGGATGACATACCGAACTTCTCTGTCTGTACCCGTGGGTAGGTTTCTGGGACAAATTGCTGAAATATGTAACGAATGCACAGTTTGAAGCTGGAGGGAGACTGTTGGCTGCTCCTGCCCTGAGGCCACGCTGCCATGTGCTGCCTCAGTGCTGACCTGCCTTCTAGGTACAGTGCCCAGGATTGTTTTGGAAGCCGTGAAAATATTATAATGCTGTGTGAAAAATTAGGAGAAAAATAAGTAAATTAAATATAATTGTGTACATGAGATGGAAGTTCATCTTACTTAAAAGGTTAATTTCATAATCGGATGCAAATTATTTTACAGTATCTATATCTGACCTTATTATAAGTACATGTATATATTCACCATATATTCACTTAACTAGTTAACACCAACTTGGTAAGCACTGAGCCAAAGGAGTTAAACTAGTACCTAAATGTTATGAGGATCATAAGACCACAAGTAACAGTTTTTCTTCTTCTTCTTCAGGAAATGGACTTGGAGGTCAGGGAGCCAACAGACTTTAGTTCTAGAGATAATCTGGCTCAGAAAGAAGAAGGTAAAGACATCCAGATCCGGTCCACTCAGCCCTACATGTCTTCACATGATGACAGGACACAAGACGCCAAAGGGAGACCATATTTACAGGCTACTAAACATGCAAATATGTATGTAGTACAAATTTCAGAAGAGGGAGACTCAAACGAGAACAATAACAATGCCAGCAATCCATTCTCAGATGCATCTGTCCGCAGAGGTGAGAAAAAAGGAATTACCTTTCTAGAAAGGAAGATCAAATGTTGTCTTAAAATAGTTCCAAGGGTGTGGATTGTGGGAAAGATTTAATTTTGTGGTTTGCTTTCTCTACTCTTGCTTCATTATAAAACAAAATATAGGAAGTGGCGCTGTAGCTCAAGTGGTAGAGCGCTCGCCTTGAGTTGAAGAGCTGAGGGACAACGCCCAGGCCCAGAGTTCAAGCCCCATGACCGACAAAAAAAAAAAACAAAATATATGGCTCCTGTAACAGAGTATTCCAAACTTGTCCAGGAAATTCAGAAATTCATAATGAACATATGGTAAATAATTTCTGGATTTTTTAAAAATATGAACTAGTCGCTGATTGTAAATTGTTCATGCCTATATAGAATATATTATTAGCTTAATATAAAAAATTCAGTGTCCTAGGTATTAGTTTTATGTAAGTAAGGAACATATTTAACAGTGAATAATAGAAATCTAAAAATCTATGACTTAAACAAATGAGATTATCTTTTTCTCTCTTAAAACATGATAGTCAAAGTTAGTTTAAGGCTACTGTTACATGGTGCTGGTGTCCATTGGATCACCCTTCCTCATTTTTTTTATGCCTATCCTGGGGCTTGAACTCAGGGCCTAAGTTTTTTGCTCAAGCTGTGCCAGGTGAGCCCCAGCTCCACTTCCAGCTTTTTTTGATGGTTAATTGGAGATAAGAGTCTCACCGACTTTTTTGCCTGGGCTGGCTTTGAACCGGGATCCTGAGACCTCAGCCTCCTGAGTAGCTGATGTTACAGGTGTGAGCCTCCAACTCCTGGTTTAGCTTTCTTAGTGTCTGGACAGTGTGCAGGAGGACTGTGAGGTTGGATCCAGTGCTGCCTCCCCCTGGCCCTCCCCGTCCATCCCGTGACTCATCTAGGGAATTCTAGCCTTCTAGGTAGACAATGGAAAAGGGAAACGCTCAAAGACAAAGGAAGGCCAAGAGAGGCAGCTGCACTGACAACTTGAAAGGGCCTATTCACAAAAAGTGCCCTGAGCTGGTGCTGGTGGCTCACACCAGTAATCCTAGCTACTCAGAAAGCTGAGATCCGAGGATTACAGTTCAAAGCCAGCCCAGGCAGGGAAATCTGTGAGACTCTTATCTTCAAGTATCCACCAGACACTGGAAGTGAGCTGTAGCTCAAAGTGACAGAGTGCTAGCCTTGAACAAAAAAGCTCAGAAACAGTACCCAGGCCCTGAGTTCCAGACCCATGATTGAGAGAAAAAAAAAAAAAAAGGTGCCTTGAGGATCAGCCAAACCTGACCTGGTTTCAGACACTACCCCAGAAACCACATTCAAGAGGTTTTACAATTATATCATTGATGGTATTTCAATCATATAGTCATCTCTGTCTGTGCTTTCTCAGGGGGGCCCAGTGCCAACCCCCTTTAACAAGATCTCAGTCAGAGGGTGGAGAGTGCTACCGAAGCCAGACTGTCCCTGGTGTCATTACTCCAGTGAAGTTATATTCCTAGTTCATACAGGCAGCAGTAAGTAGGTAGAACTGAAAAATATGTAAAGGCTGTCTCACCAATACGAGTGTTATTTATACTTGCTTCTTCTAGAAGGCAGAGCCGGGGTCCTCTCTTGCTATTTATGAACTACATAGCATATAAAAAGATGGATGTGGCACAGAAAAAGGAAAAATTAGCAGTGTGATGGATTAGGAGTTATAGATATGACCACAAGTTTGGTTTTGGTGGTAGTGATGTAGTTTAAACTCAGAGCCTTGTATTTGGTCTATCCTTTGAGCTACATTGCCCAGCTACACATTTTGCTATTCTTTTATTTGGTGGTAATAGAGGCACTTCTGCTTGTGAGGAAGGGTTTGCTACTCAAGCCCATGTCCGCAGCTCTTTTTGCTTGAGTTATTTTTTCGATGGAGTCTCACACTTCTGCATGGGAACAGCCTCTGAGAGAGATCCTGCTGGTGTCTCTCAAGTAGCTGCAGTTCCAAGAGTGCACCATTATTCCTAGTTCTGAGCAACTACTGATTTTAAGGCAGCTGTGTGGATCATTAAATTTATCCCTTCTAAGTTTACAATGCAATGTTTACAAAGTTTAAAAGCTATCACCACAATCAGTTCTGGAACATATTCACAACATGCAGAAAAATCCAGTGGTAATTATTTCTACCCTCTCCCGTACCGCCAGTCACGCATGTGCTTTCTGTCCTAAATGTGTAGATTTCATATAAATGGGAACATGTAACATGTGGTCTTTGGATTTCCTTTCACAAGGCATCTTTCAAGTTTTTCCCCAGGTTGTAATGCATGTAGGACTTCATTTTTGTTTTATGTCCATATAATACTCTAGTGCTTGGATGGACACATTTTGTTACATTGAGTGGTTGACAGAGATTTAGGTTGTTTCCACTTTTTGGTTATTATGAATAAATGTTCAGCCAACATTATATGTGAGCTTTTGTGAAATATGTTTCACTTCTCTTGAGTTGAGCTATATGGTAACAACACATTCCATTTTTTTAAAAAAACAAACAAACTTTTGTGCTTGCTTCAGCAGCACAAATACTAAATTGGAACAATACAGAGAAGATTAGCATGCACAAGGATGACACGCAAATTTGTGAAGTGTTACATTTTTAAAATCAAAATGAACTCCAAGAAATGGAAACAAGAGGTTTTTTTAGTATACTGTTTGTAGTTATTTCTTTTTTTCTTTCTCATTTGGTTTATTCCATGTTGTCACAGTTTTTTATGTCTGTGCCGTTTGTCATGTATATAAGTTTATCTGATTTGGGGAAGGGACGAGGAATAACAGAAATGGTGGGACAAAGGGTGAACCAATGCAACAGGGATACTCACTAGACAGTGTTGGTAATGAACTCTACAACTCAGTGGGGGAGAGGAGTTGGGGAAAGAAAGTGGGAGAAAATGAAGGAGGGGGTAACCCTGTTCTAAAAGAAATGTACTCATTACTACTTACATAGCTGTAACCCCTCTGTACCTCACCTTTACAATAAAATTTAAACAAATTTTTTCCAAAGTGGCTGCACCATATTTTGTTCTAACAGCATGTGAAGGTTTTTGTTTCTTTTCATCCTCATCAACATTTGTTGTTATTTATCCTTTTAGTTGTAGTTGTTCTAATGTATGTGGATTGGTACATTCTCATTCCCCTGAAGACTAATAGTTTCGAGTATCCTTTCACATCGTTTCTTGCCACCCATGTCTTCTCTGAAGGATTACTATTTTCCATCTTAAAAACCAATACCAACAACTAACATTTCATTGTCTCATGACTGTATGGGTTGACTCAACTCAGGCAATCTTCTTCCGCTCATGGCCATTAAGTCTCTTTGACATGGCTGGCAGGTGGTATTGGTCATAGACTTATCTTCTCATGTCCTAGGTATCTCACATTTGTATCAAAAAGATATGTGTCCTGGGCACAGGTGGCTCCTGCCTGTAATCCTAGCTACTCAGGAGGCTGAGATCTGAGGATTGTGGTTCAAAGCCAGCCTGGGCAGGAAAGTCCATGAGACTCTTGTCTCCAATAAACCACCAGAAAACTGGAAGTGGCGCTGTAGCTTAAGTGGTAGAGCGCTCGCCTTGAACTGAAGAGCACAGGGACAGCGCCCAGGCCCAGAGTTCAAGCCCCATGACCAACAACAATAACAACAACAACAAAAAGAAAGAAAGGAAGAAAGGAAGCAGAAAAAAAGAAAAGATATGTATGCTGGTCCCCAGGGTGTCAAACTTCTGCTTGTATTATACATGCAAATGTCTTGTTGTCCACAGCAAGTCATGTGACCACAGGAGGGCATGACTCAAGCTTTGTCCATATTTAATGAGGTTTTTTTTGTATTTAATTGTAATGAGAATTTCTTTATCAGAAAACTAGCCTGGACAGTAATCCTCCAGAGTAACAAGCATGTGTCAGTACATTCATCTTTTTATTGATTAAAGTGGGGTTTCTTGAACTTTTTGCCCAGGCTGGCTTTGACCATGGTCTTCCTGATCTTTGCCTCCTGAGTAGCTAGGATTATAGGCATAAACCACTGAACCCAACTATATCCAACTACTTTAACTTCTGTTCATAGCTTGAATAAAGGATCCATATTCATCCTTTTCTATGTGTATGTTCAGTGGTCCCAGAACCATGTAGTGAAATGCCTAAATCTTTTTTTTCTTTTTCTCTTCATCAAATTGCTTGGCAGAACAATTTGTTGGAATCAATTGACCATAAAATAGGGCTTTAATCTCTAGACTTTGAACTCTGTTCTATGAGTCTACATGTCTGTCCTTTTGAGGCTGGGCCATATTAATATTTATACCTTTTCAGTCTCTGCCACAGTGATTATTTTAATATAGGTACTACAACTTGGACACGTATATTCTGGGATTCTGATTAGAAAGGTAAGTATCATACTTCCTAGGTAGAGACACTGCAGTGTCTGTAAGTTAACTCCTCTAAGTTAACATTTAAAAAAAAATGTTATTCTCGGGTGCTGGTGGCTCATGCTTGTAATCCTAGCTACTCAGGAGGCTGAGATCTGAGGACCATAGTTCAGAGCCAGCCTTGGAAGGAAGAGTCCTTGAGACTCATATCTCCAATTAACCACCTGAAAACCAGAAGTGGTGCTGTGGCTCAAGTGGTAGAGCACTCACCTTGAGCTGAAGTGAGCAGGGACACCACCCAGGCCCAAAGTTCAAGCTCCATGACTGACAAAAAAAAGTTATTATAAAAGTGATATGCAGAAGATTACAGGTACATAAATCAAGTAATAAATACAATTTCTTTTTGAACAAGGTTACCCCTCCCTCACTTTTTATGGGCCCCTACCTTTACTCTCCCAAAGACAGATAAATTTACAAGCAAGACAAAAAGAAAAAAAAACAGCAACAAAGAAAAACCCACTTCTTTCCATTTCTTGGAGTTCATTTCAATCAATATTTTTATATGATCACATAGGCATTTATCTGTGCACATAGGCAGTGTACCTTCTTTTCCTTTGGTCTTACTGTGCTATAACTTAATTTTTTTATTGGTCCTGGGGCTTGCACTCTGGTCCTGGGTGCTGTCCTTGAACTGCTTTTGCTCAAAGAGAGTGCTCTACCATGTGAGCCTCAGTGCCACTGCTGGCTTTTTTGAGTAGTTTATTGGAGATAAGAGTCTCACAAGAGTTTCCTGCCCATGCTGGCTTCAAACCAGGATCCTCAGATCTCAGTCTCTGACTAGCTAGGGTTACAGATATAAGCCATCAGTGCCTGGCTTATAACTTAATTTTAAGCACTTTTCATTTCTTCCTTTTGAAATAAGGATAATGCCACAATGAGAGGAAAATGTCATTGCCAGGGGCATAATCAAAGGGTCTAGGGAGATCTGTGATGTTGGAAAGTTAGAAGCAAAGTCCTTCTGTGAACTGCTTTGCAAGTCATCCACATGGAACTCTTTGGTCTGACTTTTAATTTGGCAGGTTATTTAGCTCCTGTCTCAGTTCATAGAAGAGTAGGGAATCATGTAGGGCAGGTAGGCTGGAAAGAGCAGAGGGTAAGTAGCTCTGCAAACTCTGCTGCAGCACCAGCCCATCTCTAAGGAGGGACCACCTTCTCTCTCCAGCCCTGAGGCTTTGCTGCGTCTTCTTCTGTGCATTCAAGTAGCTGGATCCAAAATGATGGGCTCACCACATACTGGGAATTATTTTGATTCTAAGGAGGATGGGGGTATGCTTAGTATAGAATTATTTCTACTACAGAATTACTCAGATCATTGAGTTTGTCTCTGAAACTTGAATAAACCCTAAGGTCTCCAATAAACACCTTGAACAACTAAGTTGACTCTTTGGTTGTTTGCTTGCTCATTTCATCCTTGGTATGGAGTCTCTCCATGTTGACCAAATGGGTACTGAGCTCCTTCACTCAAGTGATCTTCCTGCCTCAGCCTTCTGCTTAGTTGGGACTACAGGCACGTATCACTGGAACTACAAACAAGTGCCACCACACCCACCTTTGATGAAATGTTCTTTAAAAGTTCTGCAGATTTGTACTTTTGTTGTTACTCCATTTGCTGATGATAAATTAGCACTGCCCATACCCAAAAAGGAAAAATTCACTTCATTTATATCAAAGATAGTTACATTTATAGTTTCATTTTAATATTATAGTATCAAAAATAATGTTTCTATCTCCTCAGCCTTCATTATAAAAGTGTTCCTCATTGTGTCAGCTCAGCTGTTAGTCACTGCCATAATCATCAGTGTGTTTCTTTTCTGGTAAGTTGTTACCATATTAATTCTCTCACTGGATCATCTTGCTTTAATTTTGATCATTTAGGATAGTATGTATTTTTCCTTAACCATATTTTTTGTGTGTGTGGGTACTGGGTCTTGGACTCAAGGTTAGTCACTATCTCTTAGCTCATTAGCTCAAGGCTGGTGTTATACCACTTGAGCCACACTTCCATTTCTATATTTTTTGATGGTTAATGGAGACAACAGTCTAATGGACTTTCCTGCCCAGGCTGGCTTCCAAATTTGAGCCTGAGAACTCAGCCTCCTGTATAGCTAGGAATGCAGGTGTAAGCCACCAGCACCTACACCATTCATTCTTAATCAGTCTTCTAGGTGTCTTCTAGGTGTATTTCTGAAGCTTGGTGTGTGTGTGTGTGTGTGTGTGTGTGTGTGTGTGTGTGTGTGTGTGTGTGTGTGTGTATCTGCTAGTACTGTGGCTTGAACTCAGGGTCTTGAGTTCTTGCTTGACTTTTTGCTCAAGGCTGGCACTCTATCACTTGAGCCACACTTCTACTTCCATTATTTTTTGTTGGATAATGGAGATAAGAAGGTCTCAAGGACCGTCTTTCCTGGGCTGGCTTTGAATTTTAACTCAGCCTCCTGGGTACCTAGGATTACAGGTTTAAGTCACCAGTACCAAGTTTAAGAAGTTTGTGAAGCAACCACTAGACCAAGGTGGTGTAGATTGCTAGAATTTTACTCATCTTCCTGAACCAAGAGCTTGTTTCTCTTAGTTGGGGCACTGTTTTTTGTGTTTTTTTTTTGTCTCCCTTGAGCTACTTTGCAGATGAAATTGGATAAAGGAAAATAGGCGAGATTGTGGAGATTTAGGAGGCTGGAAGGCTGTTAAATCCAGGAATTATAGAGAGAACTTGTGTCCATCACTACTTTTGCATAGCCTCTGAAAATGGGTATTTACAAAATGAATCATGAGTTGATTTACTTCACTTTGCACACATATCTCAGTATTTGTATTAGTTTAAATTTGACTAATATCTGAGCATGGTGGTGCAAATCCTAGCACTCAAGAAGCTGAGACAGGAAGCTTGCAGGTTCCAAGTCAGCTTGGACTACATAGTGAGTCAGCTTGGACTACATAATGAGACCCTGCATCAAACAAAACAAACACAACCAAAAAATACACAATTATTGTTTACCCCAGCTTGTGAAATTATCTTTGATAAATGTGTCTATTTGGAGGGTAGGGGGCTAAGGATTTGAGGCTGTGACTACATGCATAGTAAACACTCTACCACTGAGTTCCTCCTGCAGTCTATTATCTCTCTCTCAAGAACCTTTGCCTCTTCCATCCCCAGCAGTCCTTATTCATCATTTAGGGTTTACTCATGCTTCTCACCATGTCATCTTGCTTCTATTTAAATAGAGAGTAAAAGTCTGCTATCTGTGGTATAAATTTATATTTATTTATTTTAACCAGGAATGATTTAAGGGAGTGGGTATTGGCAAACCGTTGGTTCACCTATGCATTCTTGTAAGTACCTTTAATTGACTCTAATAAAACAGTTTGTCTACTAGCAACTGATGAGAGTGTATTGCCATAAATGATGATAGCTTATTGAGATAAAGTTAAACCCCTTGAGATGGAAGGAAAATGAATTCGTGTTTGTTAGGGGCAGGGCTAGTGATGTGTGAGGTGCGGGTAAGGAGGCATCACCATAAAGTGGTAGCACCAAGGCCTCTATCCATGAATTATTGGTAGCACAGTTCTAAGTTTGCATTGTGGTGGTGATTACATAGACCTACTCATAGATTTATGCATAGTTCTATGTCAAAGAACTACATTTATCCACTATCTCCACTTCAGAATACAGATAAAAATCATTAAATGATAGACAGCAGTATCTATGTTCATTTATTCATCTGTACATAATACAAGATATAAGCATGGGAAGCAAATAACACATGGTTTTACATTCTTCTTTAGGCCCGCCTTTTTTATAATCCTGATTTTACTTGCTTGCTGTGAGCATCTCCGCCGTCAAGTGCCTACAAATTACATTCTCCTGGGACTCTTTGTAAGTAACCCTGTTAGCATCGTCCCTGTTAGCTCACCTCTGATCTATTCTGTTGTCAACTTACTAAAATTCACTCCTGGAAATGTGTCCTGTGGAGTAACACAGGTCAGGAGTGTTTGTGAAACTCTTCCCAGCGCTGCAGGATATAGCGTCCCACTCTTCTGGTGAGTTGGGAGGTTTGGGGACCCAGACTGTTTCTTTGTTCAGGTAAACACGATCCTGCCCAAGTGAGGGCTACATTTCTGGAGAGTTAAGTTGGCCGTCAGCAGATTTCCCCAAGGCTCAATAAACAGAAGCTGACCAGTCAGTTCCACATATAGTTCACAAACTCATGACCTAGAAATACGATTTTCTTTATTTTGGTAAACCGTACTTCTATTTCAACTCCTCCTGGGAGCAAGCTCAGCTGTCCCCCAATTCTGCACCTTTCTTCTTATGACCCCCCCACCCCTATTCCTACCCCAGTGTCATAGAGTGTAGGCACAGGTGGAAAGCGACATGTAGGCCTTGGCTCTCACCATTTACCCATGCTCTAGTTCCTGGTTCCCCATTGCTCAGCACTGTGCCCTTCCTTGAAATTCAGGGCTACCCTAAGGTCTACAAAACCATGTCACTCTTCTTGCTACACCAATCTTTTTGTGCTGGTGGTGGGCAGGTTGGGGAGGGGACAGGATTTCACCCCTTTCAGGACATACTTAAGCTCCTAGATTCCCTGAATTTCCTGAAGGTCACTGTGCTTCTACCGGGAACTCAGCAGCATCTAAGTCATTCCCAACCTTGACTCCCACTCAACAGAAGCAGTGTAAACCCTCCCCTCCTGGGGGCCTGGAAGCCTCTCTCAGAAGCTCACTGGTAGCAACTGCCAGGATGTTTGGCTTCTCTTGGGTTTGTTTTTTATTGGGGGTGGGGGTGGGGAGTCCAGATCCATTCTAGTATGATTCAGGATAGTGTAAGCACATTTGGATTTCTGTTTCTTCCAGTGCCAGTGTGGACCACCCTTTTCTATGAAGATTTACTTTCGCAAATTTGTTTATTCCCTATGTGATTCCATACTGGATTTGAGGTATCCCATACAAACAAGATGATCAGATGAATTGATGGGGAAATCTGATAGAAGGAAGAATAGGATAGGGAAACAAACATAGTGCTTAGACTCATGTGCAAAACACATGCAGTCCCCCATGCATGAGTATCCTGATCGTTGATTGGGCCTTGATGGCCTAACAAGCAATAACCAATAACGTGACCAATAACGTGAGTCTTAGCATATGCCCCCAAGCAACCTCTACTGTGATTTACATGATTTACATACAGACGCATTTTTGTGTGCTGGAACTTGGAATATGATGGAATTGAGTCAGAAGAAGAGAAGGGAAATATCTTGTGAGGAAGGTTGGAAGCAAGTGCCATATTAAAATATCATGGGATTTATACTTTTTTCCCTCTGATGGAAACAGAGACAGCTTCCTTAGGTAAACTTAATAAAGTAAAAATTCTGGAAATTACCAATTGGGTCTGGAAATGCATATAGGTGATCCAGGACGTTGGGGGCTGCAGCTCTTTTTCCAGCCCTTTGACCCAGCCCTCATTGGCTAGCTGGAGAAGTTCAAAGCTTGCCCTCTTCTTTCTTCCCTTTGATTTTTTTTTCCTGGTCCTTTTTATGAACCAGTAGGTCCTTTGAATTGTCTCTTTTTTCTCTCTGACAGTGTCCTGTCAGAACTTCTCCAGCCCAAGGCCACTACTTAACATCCTCACCACAGCTGCGGCTGTTCTGAGCTAGACTGTGGGCCTAACATACACAGCATGGTGTTCAACTGGCTCAACTGCCCACTGCCTCTGTCCCTTGCTGCCCCCAGCCTAGCCCCATTTGGAGAGTGCATGGCCTTCAGTGCAGCCCTCCTGCAGACTCTCCTTGTACCCATTTCTTCTCACTCCCTTAGACTCTGTCCCAAATGTGCACACTTTAAGGCAACTCCTCTGGACTCTGAGGATCCACCTCAGGCCTCCAATAGCAGGCTCCTGACTGATTGTAAATTTTGTCTTCAGACAGTTCTTCAAGGTCTGCTGCTAGGCATCATATCAGTGTAAGTTTTTAATATACATTTCCTTATATTGTGTGTGCTTTGTGTTGAATGTATGTGAAGAATAACCCTGGTCTCTGGTTCTAGTTCCTATAACGTGGAAGAAGTATTATGGGCCACAGGAGCAACCACGATGGTGACAATAGGGCTCACTTTATTTGCTCTACAAACAAAAGTACGTATTACTGAAACCCATTTCTCAATAGGGAATGTACTGGATGTGTTCCCGTGTTCCTTCTGACCTTTGTACTCCCCCTGAACTTGGCTATCCTGTGGGCCTCACATTGCCATGTCCCTCTTGCATTCAGGCTTTCTGTGGACAGTAGAAGCCAGCTAGAGACTGCATATAGGAGAAAGGCATTTACTCCCACATTGCCTTCCAACAAGTTCCTGTTGGGCTTGTCATGTTCCTCATAAAAATTCACTTGCCTATACCAAGGTGGTCAACCCCAAATCAGCCCAACGCTCAGGCTCCCTGTCCTCCTCTTCACTTTGGGCCCACACGTCACAGCTCTTCGACTGCTAACCTAGCTCTACTTGTACTGGTTTCCTTCAGACACTACTATAAGAGTTTCTATGCAAACCTTTTCAATTATCCTATTTAAGTGCCCCATCTATTCCCTGCTGGGCCTGGCCTCATACAGGGAGTTTAAACTTCAAAGGCTAGCACCCAAAAGTGCCAAGATTCCCCAAGATATAATTCAGCACTATTTCTCCCTTTTTTAATCCCTTCCTCCCTCTCTTTCTCTCCTTCCTTCCTTCCTTCCTTCCTTCCTTTCTTTCTTCCTTTCTTTCTTTCTTTTTCTTTTTGTGCCAATACTGGGGCTTGATCTCAGGGCCTGGGCACTCTCCCTGAGCTTTTGTGCTCCACATCTAGCTTTTTGGTGGATTATTTGAAGAGTCTCACAGGCTTTGCTGGCTTCCAACTGTGATCCTCAGATTGCAACCTCCTGAGTATCTAGGATTACATGTGTAAGACACCAGTGCCTGGCTCTTTCTTTCCATTCTCTGAGTGCTGTGGGTCAAATCCAGGGCCTTGGGGAGCCAGGTAAACACGACAGCATCCTGGAGTGCAGGAGGATCCCTGCCAGAACTATTCTCTTTTAATTGTGATGTCAAAGTCTCTCCAGCCCTAAGATGCTCCTTGAGATTTAGTGAAGTCTTTTCAGCCAGAACTGTTTTTCAGTTCTGGCTGCCTTTGTTTACTTCATCATCCTATCTTTCTCAGTCCTGAAGATCTTTTCCTTTTTTTTTTTTTTTTTTGGTCGATCATTATCATGGTGCTTGAACTCTGGGTCTGGACACTATCCCTGAGCTCTTCAGCTCAAGGCTAGTGCTGTACCTCTTGAGCCATAGTGCCACTTCTGGTTTCTAGTGGTTTAATGGAAATAAGAGTCTCATGGAGGGGCTGGAAGGTGGCTCAGTGGTAGAACGCTTGCCTTGCATGCATGAGGCCCTGGGTTCGATTCCTCAGCACCTCATAAGCAAAAAGAAAAAAGCTGGAAATGGTGCTGTGGCTCAAGTGGTAGAGTGCTAGCCTTGAGCTGAAGAGCTGAGGAACAGTGCCCAGGCCCAGAATTCAGGTCCCACAACCGGACCCCCCCTCCCCCCCAAAAAAGAGTCTCATGGACTTTCCTGCTCAGGCTGGCTTTGAAATGTGACCCTCAGATCTCAGCCTCCTGAGTAGCTAGGATTACAGGCATGAGCCACTTTTCCTACATTTTCATCTAGTCAATAAGCTGAGAAGAGTGATTAAAGATTCCTTTCCTGGAAAAAAAAAATTCCTGGTTGCCCAAGCTGATTTAGCTCACTAATTTATAAAGGCAAAACCAAAATTTACAATTACAAAGGAATTATTATCCCTTATGGAAGCTTAGTATAGATTTTTATATATGTATACATCTCAATTTGATATGATTAGCATAATAATATAACTATATATGATATTAAATATTAATATTATAGCAATATACTATATAAATATATTGATAATATATAAACAATATAAAATATATTAATTTATATTATTTTAATATATAATGTGTTGATATGTAATATATCAAGATATAATATGTTAGCATATATAATATAATTAATGTAATATATGGTATATATAATTTTTTTTTGGTTGGTCATGGGGCTTGAACTCTGGGCTTGGGCACTGTCCCTGCGCTCTTCAGATCAAGGTGAGCACTCTGAAGCTTGAGCCACAGTACCACTTCTGATATATATATATATATATATATATATATGTATATATATACATATATATATATTTATTTATGAAATATATATACATATATATTTGTGAAAATACCCAGATAACATTTGGTATTTTTCATCAATATTTTCTGTGCATATGCTCTTAAAAATATAAATAATTCTGATCGTACTATACATACACATTAAATCCTACTTAGTGGATGTACCTTTTATATAAGAGAAAATATCATATGAATACCAAAAATAATTAGTACAATGAGTTCCCAAGCACCCAATGTCAATTGTAGCTTCCATCATTTCTTCCCATACTCCTATGTTTTTCCCCCTCCTCATGCAAATCCCAGTCAATGTAATCCTTTTTATGTGGCCATTTCCAGTGGGAGTTAATGGAGCTTCATACTTTCTGAATTTACCAAGGAAAATTGTTAGCAATGGGCTGGTTCCTATCTCTGGGGGATAAAATGCATCTCTAAACATTCCTTCTAGATGATAATGGAGTTGTTTGTGCTGCTTGTGTTTCCTCAGTGGGACTTCACCATGCTAAGTGGAATGCTGTTTGTTTTCTTCTTCATTCTTATCATCTATGGAATTATCTTAATCTTCGTACACTCCTATGTAAGTGGCTTTTGGGGAAAAACCCTTAAAACATTGTTAAAAGTATAGATGAAATACTGGCTGTGTGCATCTGGGCCTTGTGAGAAGCAGACATGTCTTTTGGGGCTAAGCGTGTAAGGAGTTTTAAGAGTAGAAAGCATAGATGAAAAAGAACTAAGCAACTCAAAGACAGCGATGGGAAGGGAGGAATGAGAGGGAATGAGGGAACAGCTTACACTAAGCAAAAGGAAAAAAGTATAAACATCACCTGATGTGGAAGAAATAATTGTATTGTCAAAGCTCATAAAATTCACCAACTTTATAGACCATGATAATGACAATTTGCCTTGTGAAGGTTAAAATGTGTTTGTGACTTTAAGTATCACTAATTCCACAATACTGTGAAATATGTGAGATTTTTGTGATCACCTAATCTCAAGTTAAAAAAAAAGAAAAGTGAAAGAAAGGATGGGTTGGGAGCGATGGGTGACAATGTTGTCAGACACCACAAGGTGTCTGTTTTGTAGAATGGGAACTTCTTTGTACAACTTCTTAAAGATAATAATAAAAAATGTTAAAAAAAAAAAGAGTAAAAAGGCCCATGAAAGAAAGGAAGTGAGGAGCCTAAAAGCTCTTTCAGTTGGCAGCCCAGGATGGCACACTTGACCTGCAGGTGAAGGCAGGTTGGGTGGGAGCATTGTAGACATGATGAAGTCTTAGAAAGCTCAGCAAGGCCCTCATCTCTCCCAGGAAAGGCCTGGCTGCTTCCAGCCAGTGGTGTGGTATGTAAGTTGCTTAAGACAGACTTCAGTGGCTACACAGCCCAACAGCTGGAGCCCATGGTCCCCTCCCCTCCCCTCCGTGTACCTGAAGATCTGTAAAGTCCATCCTAGTGGCTACCATCATTGTGGAGGTACTACAAATGGATTTAGTGGGTGAATATTGGGCTCCTACTCTAGATGACAGTTCTTCCACCCAGAGAACCTTGTAGTAACCCTGCTTGAAGGGGGGCAGGTTGACTCCTCCCATGTGTTGGGAGGCGCAGTTGTGAGAGAGATGGGCTCCTTGGCTTTCTCCATTAGCAGCCTGAAGGAGGCTCCTTAGTGTTCAAGTCCAGTGTTTTCTCCTTTACTCTGTTTATGAGCTCTTGCTGGATGTCAGATGTTGGCCTATGTGGTTTTCATATAGGCATCACATAGAACTCCTACAACATTGCTGAAAGTACGTGTCTCTTTTATTGATAAGGAAAGAAGTTCAGAGAAATTCAATTATTCCTTTGGAGAGTTCCCCCAGGGAATTAAGGGGCAAAGGTGACATGGAGAAGGCCAGACCGGTGAGACTCCACAGCGCCAGCCCTGACTTTAAATATCAGGTCCTTATTTGATAACGGTGACTTAAGTGAGCCCTTTTGTTATTCCAAATCCTATTAAGCTACAATTGTTTCCTCTCTCTCTCTCTGCAGTGGCTGCATCTACTGTATGCTGCACTTGGGGCTCTGGTGTTCTCCCTCGTAAGTCCATCCCCCCCTCTCTGATGAAAAATGTGGCATGTGCATGAATAGGCCTGTGTCCTGATCATGGGGAGTCAGTGATTTGCTGGCAACTCCAGCAGCGCCCTGCCTCTGTTTTCAAGCAGCACTCTTAGAGCTGGAGGGCCATTCTGACACATGAAAACATGGATTTTCTTGAGAGAGTCAATGTTTAAGAAGAGACAGAGGGATCATTTATAAGACTGGAAGTTTACTGTGGCAGAGTGTGGTTTCGGTTTTTGTCATATTCCTATACCTTTCTTGCAGGAACTTCTGCAGGGAACTAGCAGATGTCACTGCTGATACAACTGAGAATCTCTCTCTGTCTCTGTCTCTGTCTTTTTCTTTCTGTCTTGAATTCAGGGCCTGGGCATTGTTCCTGAGCTCATTTGCTCTAGGCTAGCACTCTACCACTGGAGCTACAGCTCCACTTGTGACTTTTTTTTTTTTTTTGAGTAGTTAGTTGGAAATAAGAGTCTCATGACTTTCCTGCCCAGGCTGGCTTCAAATCTTGTTGCTCAACTCTCAATTACCTGAGTAGTCAGGATTACAAGTGTGATCCACTGATGTGTGGCTTAGTCCCATCTCTTGCTGTTCTATTTTCACTGTGTTTTTTTTGTTTGTTGTTGTTGTTATTGGTGGTAGTAGTAGTAGTAGTAATAGTAGTAGCAGTAGCAGCAGCAGTACTAGGGCCTTGAATTCAAGCTTCAAGCTCATTTAGTTTCTTTGCTGTTAGTGCTCCTCACTTTAGCCATGCTTCCAGACAGGCTTTTTGCTGGTTAATTAGAGATAGTTTTAAGACATTTTTTACCTAGTCTGGCTTCAGACCACAGCCACAATCCTCCAGGTCTCAGCCTTTTAAGTAGCTAGGACTTCAGGTGTGAGCCACGAGTACCTGGTCTTTTTATGGTTATTTTAAGAAACATTTTATTTAAAAAGTTATCTATGTACATTTTTACATTACAAAATGAAAAAAAATCCTCTTCTTACTCTCTCTCAAAGGATAACACTTGATAGAAGTTTCTGTGAACCCTGCCTGAGTTTCTTTTTTTTTTTTTTTTGGGTCCAGTCGTGGGGCCTGAACTCTGGGCCTGGGCACTGTCCCTCAGCTCTTCAGCTCAAGGCTAGTGCTCTATCACTTGAGCCACAGCACCACTTCTGGCTTTTTTTTCTTTTTGCTTATGTGGTGCTGAGGAATCGAACCCAGGGCCTTAGGCATGCAAGGCAAGCGCTCTACCACTGAGCCACCTTCCCAGCCCCTGAGTTTCTTTAATAAATGCACCATTTCCTCTTATATTTATGGAGTCATACTATAAGTAGCATTCTTCTTCTTTTTTCGTTTAAAAAATAATGGGGGGTGTGGTGCTGGGAATGTGGCTTAGTGGTAGAGTGCTTGCTTGGCATGCATGAGGCCCTGGGTTCAATTCCTCAGTACCACATAAACAGAAAAAGCTGAAAGTAGCACTGTGGCTCAAGTGGTAGAGTGCTAACCTTAAGTAAAAGAAGCCCAGAGAGTGTCCAGGCCCTGAGTTCAAGCCCCAGGCAATATACTACTACTAATAATAGTAATAATAATGTACTCCACTTATGAACAGACCTGGGTCTGATTCTTTTAAAGAACTGTGTGGTATTCTATTTTTTTGTTTTTATCATGTCATCTCTTTTAGGATTTTTAAAGCTTTGTTATGGTATCAGGGCTAAAATTCAGGGTACTGTGCATGCTAGGAAAATATCTACTAATCTAAACCTACAGCTCTTAAGGTTTTTTTGGTAAAGAAATTTCTTTATTTTGAAATTTTCTAAACATACTCAAATATGGTATAATAAGCCCTATAATCATCAGTAATTATTTAACCATCTACATTTTGTTTCATTGTATTTCTTTACATTGCTGTTGTAATTATGTCTTATCTTGGAAGAAATTTATACCAGGAGATTGTTTGCTCATTTCTTCTCCTAGTATAAAAGGAACTGATCTATACCAGTCTTCTTTTATTTTGTGTGCTCAACCTTTGTGTGTGATGTTGGCTGCTCTGTCTCATGGCGTGTTTCAGGCAATTTGTTTTCACACGAAAGTAGGCTGATATTCTGTCCTCCATTTATAGGCTGAGCAAAAACTCTTGAAGGTTGCCCAACACCAAACAGATAGCTAGAGGTAGGAAGAATCTTCCCTTTCTAGCTGTTTGTCTTGTGTCTGTTTTAACTACCACAAGAGGTAAGAGGTTGTAAGAGGTGTGTTTGCGCCTGTGAGGTGAGGCAGAGCACTGCACTTTGAAATGCTCGCATGAGTCTGAAGCCTGCCTGGAGTTTCCCTATGGGTTGAAGGTGTTTGCGATAGCATTCTAAGCTCTAGTTTCCATGGAGCAGACTGGCCACAGCTTAATCCTCTGCTGGCCCTCTTCTGCCTCTTTCCTATCTGCCTTCCAGCACACCAGCACACAAGCTTTCCTGATAAGCCTTGTAGCTCACAATTCAGCACGTTGTCATTCTCCTTTTACAAGATAAACTTAGGGATCTCTGGAGGGGAAGAAGAAGGAAAAGCACTTCCTAGGAGTTAGGATTCCAGACTGAGACTAAGAGGCAAAGAGCAAAGCTGGGTACTCAGCCCAGGGTGGTTTTATTTTTTTTTTGGTGTGGGTGGGTGGGGGAATTGCTGAATGTCCTAGTTTGCCTGGGGCTGAGGAGTTTCCCAGGACACTCAAAAGTCCTTGGGAAATCAGAGGGGTTGGTCAGCCTAGCTGGAAAGAGACTTGTGGAAGGGGTAGCAGGGCGTGGACAGCCCCCGGGATTCATGAGATTCCCTTCAATTGCCTTCTGTGGAATGTCCTGTCCTTCCTCCCTCCAAGGCTCAAATTCCACCTACTCTAACTGGGCCCTTCCCACATAATGAGATGATTTGTCATGATTTTAGTGTGAAGCCATCTAGGACATGTCCATCCTCAGCCTTCCTTCCCCATTCTTAGAAACCTACATGGAACCTAGCAGGGAGAGAATGCTTGTATTCCCAAGGACAGAGTTTCATTGAAGTGGACATTGTTCTAAGCATGGGCTAAAGAATCATTCAAACCCCAGTAATTCCTTCTTCTTTCCTTCCTTCCTTCCTTCCTTCCTCCCTCCCTCCCCCCCTTCCTCCTTCCCTCCCTTCCTCCTTCCCTCCCTTCCTCCTTCCCTCCCATCCTGGGGCCTGAACTCTGGGCCTGGGCGCTGTTCCTCAGCATTTCAGCTCAAGGCTAGCGCTCTACCACTTGAGCCACAGCACCACTTCTAGCTTTTTCTACTTATGTGGTGCTGAGGAATCAAACCCAGGGCCTCATGCATGTAAGGCAAGCATTCTACCACGGAGCCACCTTCCCAGCCACCCCCCACTACCCCCAGAAATTCCTTCTGATGTTAGTGCTGGTCTGTCTGATGGGCTCTGCCTTCCAGCACTGGACACAAGTGGCTTAGTCAGTTTTCCCTTCTCCCTTCACTGCCCACACAATGTCCAGGTCTCCTTACTATGTAGCAAAAACAAGGATAAAGATGCTCTCTAACCTTGTTTGATGTTTTTAGGATCTCATAATTTCACTTACTGTAGTTGAGTTGACACGTTTTCTTTGGGGATTATTGAACCACATTTGAGTTCCCACTCCTTCCCATTCTACTTTAGAATGGTCACAAAGCCATTCTCAAATGACATCGTTTGTTGTCACCCAAACCTCTAAGAACTCAGTTAAACTCTGTGTGAGTCTACAAGCCAGCTTTATTGTGGTCTCAGTTTAGTGAGAACTTGGAGGTGAGGAATCACAAAGAAGTTTGTACTTTATCTGGGTGTCCACTCTGTCCATCTGGTCCATGTCATCAGCCAATATACAGCTTTTTTTTTCCCCATTCAAACATCAAAGGGAGTGCACAGATTTAAGTCCCAAAGCCTTCAGAAAGAAAAAGCACTTACTTTCATAGAGCACAAATTCAGGGTCCTCTTGTTTGATTGAGGTCTTTAAGAATAACATTTAGCCACAAACTGACCTTCTGCAGCATTTTCTCAATGCTAGAATGATTTTCCAGACCATTTAAGATAGCTATTTAATATTCATGTACAATTTGGTACCTAACTTTTCTTCTCTCTCTTTTCCAAGTACTTGGTGATGGATGTGCAAATTATGGTGGGAGGACGTCACCATTATTCTCTGGACCCTGAAGAGTATATTTTTGCTGCCCTGAACATCTACTTGGACATTGTCAACCTTTTCCTTTTTATTTTGCAACTGATTGGATTGGGGAGGTAGTCTTCTGGCCCAGATAGGCTTGCACTGGTAAGAGAAGAGGGAAGGAGGGACAGTGTGAGTTGGTACCAGGTTCAGGCATGAAAAAGTTACCACTTCCTAAGCACTTTCATTAGAAAAAAAAATTAAGGATACTTACTTCTGGCCATATGAATCTAAGTGTTGTGTAGATAGTAGCTGTTGCAGTTTTCATTCTAGTATCACATAACAAAAACTTCTAGGGGAGATTTTTTTCTGATATAAATTCAAAAGATGAGTATCATAAATATTTGTTTTAAAGATGCTCAATGCTTTGTTTTGGGGCACTATTTGAAAGCTGTAAATAACAGCTTTCTACTTGAATAAAACTGATTACAGAAACCTAAATTTACCTTTCTTGTCTTATATTCTATGGGAATATTTTTAGCAGTTAGGGTGTGTGTGTGCTCACATGTGTGTGCATGTGCATGCATACACCAGTATGGTGCTTGAACTCAGGGCTTGGACACTGTCCCTTAACTTTTTGCTTAAGGCTGATGCCATTTGAATCATAGCTCCACTTCTGGCTTTGTGATGGTTAATTGGAGATAAGAGTGTCAAGGACTTTCCTGCCCAAGCTGGCTTCACACTGAGATGCTCAGATTTCAGCCTCCTGAATAGCTAGGATTGCAGTTATGAGCCACTGGTGTCTGGCTCCAACTTAACCATTTTTAAGTGTACAGTTTAGGAGTGTCAGGTATCTGTTACTGCACAAACTAATTTCTATAACTTTTCATCTTGAAAAACTGAATCTCTATGTGCCTTAACTAAGTCCTGTAACATTTTTTTTTTTTTATCGGTCATGGGGCTTGAACTCTGGGCTTGGGCACTGTCCCTGAGCTCTTCAGCTCAAGGCGAGCGCTCTACCGCTTGAGCCACAGCACCACTTCTGGTTTTCTAGTGGTTTATTGGAGATAAGAGTCTCACGGACTTTACTGCTCAGGCTGGCTTTGAACCACGATGCTCAGATCTCAGCCTCCTGAGTAGCTAGGATTACAGGCGTGAGCCACTGGCGCCCAGCTTTTATAAATATGTTCTGATTATGTTCTTGAAATTCATATTCTGTATAGATCTGTACCTCTGTCCTAGAGCCTCACAGCTGGATGGAGTAAGATACCTGGTGAGACAAAATTTCACTCAGCTGTAAAAGCTTACACTTCCAAATCCATCACCGGCATCCCTGCCTCATCTATTCTAGTTTCAAATTCTGGGCCAGGCAGTCTTTGGTGTTTGTCCCAGCGGGAAGAACGTGTCAAGGCTGCAGGATGAACAAAGCACTGGGCAGGCCCACTCCTGTGTGCTTCAGGGAACAGGGAAGGCAACTAGAAAAATGGCTGTGCCCGATGAGGGCCCTCAAATAGTCCCCCAAACCGTGTAGGCACAAAGTTTTCAGTTCAGTATGACTTTAGAACTAGTGTAGTTATGGGGGTGGGTTAGTGTAGAAAAGAGAGAAGGCAGAAGGGGTCAGAATGAAGGCTAACAAAACTTAGGTTTATGGCAGTGAAGGGCAGACCTAGGGTGCTAAATGGGGTAGGTAGAGTGATTCATTCATCATCTTGATCATGCTGCTGTGTGGATGGATCTCAGAACAGGAGAAGTCATAGTTTTCCCTTTGGGCAATTATCACTAAAAAAGGCCACTGTAAGGAAGACATGGCTTGGGGACTAGTAAGGCAAGGTGATAAATGTAGGCTTAGATATTTTCAATATGTAAAAACAACTTGGAAGAGCAAGAGCTGGAGTTCAGGACTTAAAGATACAGAATTGGGGGCAATTTCAATTTGCTGAGAACCGGAGCTGAGACATCTAACTGCTTGCTAGGAGTGAGGGGAAAGGAAAGGAGATCCTAAAGGGTGAACTCTGGGAATGCCCAGAATTCAGAAACAGAAAGCATAGAGAGAGTATTACTAACCAAGATGTGAAAGTGGCTAGAATGTAATCTAGTGGAGGCAGCCCAGAGCCTCAGGGAGGTGTGGACGCAATTCTTTTAGTGTTATGTCTCAAGTCCTGGAGTCTTCCTGAGGCTCTTTACAGAAAAACATAAAGACACAATGAAACTAGTAACAGAGCCAATGGATTTGAAAATGACCATTTGAAGCAAGGACCAACCCCAGTGGTATGGAGAAGACATCAGGAATGGTTGGGGTGGAACAAGAGGCCAGAAGTGCCTAGCAAGATAGACATGTTCACCTGGTGGAGAGCGAGAAGGAGCGGGGAGGGATAGGGAAAAGTTGTGCTTTTACTCTTAATTTTCCAGAAAACGGGGAAATCTGTGCCTGTTTGAAGGCAGAAGTAAAGGTGCTAGGACATGGGACAAACTAGGGATGGCTTCAGACAGGCCATTGGCAGGACTGTCAGTTACCTGTGAAACCTTCTTGGGGTAGAGGTAAGAAGTTAGGAATAGAAGGCGGGAGAATTGGATTCTGCAGTGCTTACGCTGGGGGATGGGGAACTAGAGAACACTGGATCCTACACCCCTGGACGGTGCATGAGAACGCCAGTCAGAGATGAATCCACCAAAAGTACCAACAGAGGGAATGCTGAGAGTTAGCTGAAATTTATAGATTATGAGGAAGAGAGAGAGGAATACAAACCCCTATACACTGCCTAATTCCTGAACATCAGATTCTGTGCCTTACAATTTTTATGGTTGCTTTCTCATGAGGGGATTCAAGCTGAATTCCATATTGCATTTTGTAGTCCCAATATTACCAGGAAAATCCTGGACTACATAATTCACATCTGAAGCATGAGTAGAAAACAAACAAACAAACTGTGAGGACTCTTGATCCTGGCTCCCTAAACAAAGCCACTGTGTAGGCATTGGTGAAGGCTTTGGTATAAAAGGCTCAGTGAATTAATTTCATACAAGAAGGCGAATGCAACTGGGAAGCTGGAGGTTTAGCATATTCTCCCGGGCATTCAGAAAACCCTTCAGGCGCACACGAGGCTGCTGGTTCTCTTGAGCTTCTGCTATCCCAGCACAGCACCCCACATCACTGCTGGGCCAGCACATTCCCACCCACATGGAACCTATTGTAGGAGCCTTACTGCACGTGCCACTCAGGAGGGCTGGCGACCAAAAGAACTTGTAGTGCTTGTCAGTCTTTTGAGAAGCATTTCATACAGACTGAGCAAGGTATACCTATTAGGCTGTTTATCAAATGAGTAATTTGTTCTCAGTACTAGAAATTTATCTTCTGAGAAAAGTGTAAAACTGAACATAATGTCAGCAGTAGTACAAATCCAATAGCATATCTCAAGATATCCAGGAAAGAGTGACAGAAGAGTTTTGCACAGGAAAGAGAATTTATAGAAGTCTCCAGGTTATATTTTCTATAACACCAACACAGGCCCTAGCAATCCACTAGCACTAAGCAGTTTGACAAGCGCCTTCTATTCATACCCATGGACTTAAATTTTTCTTCATACTGATTTTTGTTTCATTTTTACTTCTGTACAAGGGATTTCAATTCTAGAAGTCAGGTAGTGAGTATAATGCATCTTGATTGATGTCCCCCACCTCTTTTTTTTGAGAGTCTTACTACCAGGCTCAGGCTGACCCAGAACTCACTACACAGTCCAGTTTTGAGAGCCTCCTTTTTTAGCCTCCTGCTGTGAAGATAGGTGCTTGCTTCTGTGCCTAGCTATGGGTTGAACACTTTTTTTTTTGTACCCAGGCTGGTCTCAAAGTCACTCTCCTAATCTCAACCTCCCAAATTGCAAGAATTATAGGCAAGAACTACTGGCACTTCCACTCATTTTAAACTTTATATGAGCAGTAAGGTTTAGACAGGTTCATTCATATTTTCCCCAGCTTTATACCAACCAGCTGATCCAGCATCATTTTTAAAAATCAGTTAAAAATTTCTGGTCAGGGCTATTTCGGATTCTCTGTTCTATTCCATCAATCTAAGTGTTTATCTCTCCACTAGTATCTTAGTAGTGGTTACTGTGGTTCTGAAATTGGATACATTTCTAAGGTTTTAGCTACTCCTGTTTCTTTGCTTTACCATGGTTATTTTATCTATAGCTACAAAAAAAAAGTCTTGCTAGAATTTAGTAGGAATCATTGCAAAGTAATTGAATGCAGCCTACTTGTTCTGCTGCCTGGGATCCCCACTAAGCTAGTGGCTTTAGGCAGTGAATTGTGAACAAAATTTCTATCAAAGAGGCAGCATTCATTTTCCAGATAGAATGGAAATATATTAGTAAGGCCCAGCTACATGCACTCTCAAATACACAATGTCTTCTTGACTAGCAAGACCTATTAGACTCTTTCCATCTTATTTAATTCTCCAATTTGAGCTGATCCACCCCAAACTCAAGATGTCAGATCAGGAAGTCTTAAAGCTTCCATGGGTCAAGGCTCAGCTGTAAGTGCTTAGGCAGGTAAAACAGCTGTATTTTTTTTCTTCCAAAATGGGTGCACTGGAAGATTCATCAAGTAGAGGGCAATATGCTCAAAAAAGCCCCAGGGCTCAGTCAGTCCTCCTTGGTATGTGGCAGCCTTTAAAAGAGAGAAACCCATTGATACTATGAAGCAGGCTGTGGGGCTACTATGTATCAATCCTATTATTAACACCTGGAAGTCACATAGCACTGAATTACTCAAAGGAATCCCAACCATAAGGTCCCTTTAGCTTCCCTCCCCCATCACAGAACATGTCTCCAAACTATTTCCACTACAGGAATATCAGGAAGAACTGTGAATGTGTACAAGCTACAGGTGGCCAGCTGTGGAGAAGATGCAGCCTCTCTTCTTCCGTAGCTCTTGCTCCAGGGCCAGGACTCAATTACTGTCCTAAGGCAGTGATGATGCCGCAGCAGCTAGAAAACCAGGACCCTTGGACCTGCAGTCTTTCTACTCCCCTGCCTCCAAGTCTTTGGTACTTCCTGTCATCCTTGCACCCAGCACTTTTTCCTTATGGACACTTACATCAACTGTGGCAGGGGCCAGGGTCGTGAGGGTAGCCTGCTGTACATCTACAGGCAGCTTTGTGCTCACTTCCATTTGAATAGTGCTGTCACTCTATAGCTCAAACTCTTCTAGAGCTCTTGATTAGACACCATGAGGGACTACTTGACTTAGTAGCCTTGGCCTCACTGCCTCTCAGCTAGACGCTTAGAACTTCCTGCTGGTTACAAAAACATCCATCCCTGTGTCTGCCTGCTGGAGTTAACCATGAAGGGACCATTTGGACATTTTGTTTCCATCCTTCCTCTAGTTGCTAAGCCTTTGAACATAAGGGCAATGGGATCCACCACTTAGGTGACAACCTTCTCTACCAGATCCTTAGTGTTGGTTCCCCTATGGTTGGTAGTGTCTTTTCCAGAAAATAATGTTTTATCAGCATTCCATCACTTGTGTCAAATTGAGATTGAAGACTTTAGCGTCTTAATAGAGACACGAGACACCTGGGCCAGAGGGAAAGGACTTTTTCACACATGCAGAATGCCCACCAGCACATTTGTTACTCTGGTTCCTTCCCATCTCTGATTCCACAGGGGCAACCCAACAGGTCTGGGTAAGACGCTGGGCATGTTTTGTGTTGTAGCTGAAGAATACTGAGCATGAGGAATAAACTACTTTTATAGCAAGCAGTTAAGCCTAGCCCTTGACCTCAATGTCAGGCTTAGCCCTTGTCCTCAATGTCTTTAGTTACATGAATCCGGAGATTTGGCTTAGACGAAGTAGCTAAAGCTATGTAGTCGGGCACACCAAACTGAGCAGGATATATGGCACAAGAGACCCAAGAGGTCTGCCTCTTCCAGTTATTATACTTTTCTGCTTTGTCCTATTCACTCATGTATTTACCTCTTAATCTGCCTAAAAACTGTGCAATAAATAAAAACTTTGAGAGAAGGGGTTAAGAAATGACAAATAGTCTAATCAATAATATTACCAAATCATAGTTTAAAGATGAAAGAACTGGGAGCTAAAGGAAACTTTGTGGTCCATCTTTCTTTAAGGAGAATTACTATTACACAGGTTTTAAATAAGAACTGTTACAAAGTTCGGTCTAGAAAGAGTACTTCTGTCTTTCTGGAAATCCACTGGATCTGATGATGTTAAGGAGATGGCCAAGACAACAATAATAACAATAATACGCATGTTCCTAGGATGATCCATTGTGCCACTGGCACAATGCTGAGATGAGACTATCTCTCAGTGTTAAGAGCTGGGCATACAGGTGTTTTTTTCCTATGGAATATTTTTGGCCTAACTACTTCCCAATGTCTATGTTGTGTTTAGTATTTACATTGCAAGGTTTTACTCTTTAGAGACACAACTGTAATTTTAAAAATTACAACCAAACTTTAATTAGTCTCAGAGTTTAATTCATAACAGTTTAGGCAACGAGTATCTAGGACTGCAACAATGAGGCTGCAATAAACACCATTTAAGGGATAATTCAGCATATGGATCAGATCCACACAATGAAAGGCATATATAAAACCATATGATTTTAATTACCAGTGGCAGACACCCATCAAGTATGACTTAGTGGCCTGGAATTACAGATGTGAATTAAGGATGCTGAAGGGTGATTTGGTCACTCAGAAAAAACAGAAAAAGTTATGGAGAAGCAGGTTGTTTTATTAATATGAAAAAATTTTCCCTAAGCAACTAAAGAAACATATCTAAGTTCTATAGTGTTTTTGTATGTGTGTTAGTTGTCAAGAACAAGATTTTAACATTATTCTCCTGAAAATTGCAGTGGGGAAAATAAAAATGAGCACTAAGTCATATCGTTTTAGCACACTATCCTGTAGTGCTAATCAGGCTTCTCTGTGGGACACGAAATGCTGAGCAAATGGGCTACTGTAAAAATACTAGACACTAATCAACTACAGGTAATAATTAAATTAATCCCTTTGTAGATATTTAATTTGAAGAAAGTTAAAGCTTCCTGACTTGCTTAAAACAATGTCTATAATGTAATGAGACAAAATGGAAGTAGTTTAAGTAATAAATGTTTAATCAAAGAATTTTACATATTATTAACAGCATTCATTTGGCCAAACATCTCTATGTTTGTAGAATCCTACTGTATATAAAGTGGGAATGTATCAAGTATAGACTATGAAAGTGCAAATAACAAGTCAAGGTTAATTTTTTTACATTATAAAATTAACGTTTACAAAATAGGCTTTGCCGAACTTTATTACTGAATTGTAAAGTCAATGACTGTGTCGTTTGTTTTTTTTTAAAATATGTACGAAGGAAATACAAACTGGATAACGATCACTTTTCATGCCGAGGAGAGACCAGCACTGGAACAAAGGATGCTGCAGCGGTGCAAGGACACTGGCCCACCACATCCACGTTCCCACGTGCCCTCCTATTCTTCACCATGGCTGCGCAAGACACCCCAAATGTGTTGCTGGAAGAATTACAACTTGGTCTAAAATCTTAATGATGTTAATATTTTTAATCCAAAATAAATTTGTAAAAAATACATTAATGGACTATTTTGCCTTCATATACAGTAATACACTGCAGATAGTCAATATTTCCTCCCACTAATTTTAATAGGGATTGATATCTGTGTTTCCAATAATTAGAGAAATAAAAACTAATGTTAAATTTTGATATCCACTGCAGAGGAAAAATTCCCACAGTTTTTCTTAAGGAACCTGGGGGGTTTTAGATACTCTGATATAATGTGTCTTGGCCATATGAATTCAAAATGAAAGATATTTCAAAAGCAGGTCTTAGAGGAAATAAGTAAACAACTATAATCACAATTCATGTAGATAACAATATTCAAATATGACTTTTTGCCTGGCCAAGGACTTACTAGCCTGTACAAACTCAGTACAGAAATTTTGGTTTCTGTAGATTTCTGGTAACAATCTGGCAAAACATTAAACGGAGTGTTGCATATATCTAGTTTGCTTACGTTATGCTAGTTCTGATAATATGTAAGTAAACAGCCATTCCAACAGTTTACTCTAGTCTTAATTACACACTGTACCATTGTATCATTATTACAACTAAGACCAGTAGTTTCTTCACAGTAATAAGACACTGATAACTAGGAAGTTGATTTTTTCAATACTAAACAGTAATCACACAGCAAATGAATATTGTGCAAGTGAACAAACACATGTCAGCATTTGCTCGTTAGGCAAACTGAACAATTAGTTGTATTTACTGTAAAGGCAAGGCCATGGGTGGTTTTATGGAGGTCTTTGCAATTCATAGCATAGTTACTTCAGAAGAGACATAGAAATTTGAATTAATAACTTATTTAACTGGCAACTATCCATTTAGGTTAGGCAAAGGCACGGTAACATGTTGCGCAGGATGTTTTATTGAATTTTTAATAATTGTGGGATTTACTATAACTCATGAAAACTCCACTTTTTCTATTTTATAAAACACTTACCATTAAAAGTAATTGCACCCATTAGTAATTAGAATGCACTGTAAAATTGTGAAAACAAAGAACTATGATTGCACTTCCAATAAAGTGTCTCTTAAAATACAGCACCGCTGTTGCTAATCAACTGTATTTTAATATTAAAATAAACTGTTTTTAACAGCAGCATTAGGTTTCGTTAAGCTACAGGCTACATTTCTTTAAATGCAGTCTCCACGGCAACAAAGCCCATCACATCTGGAACATCGTGGCTACCGCGTGGCACCTTTCACTCCCAAGAACGCTGACACTGCCCTGGAGCACGCTATAGGATACCGCATACCTGAATGCTTTGCTAGTCAGCGCACGAGTCAGAGATTTGGCACAATTGGACTGTAAATAGACATGAGAAGAGATCTTTGATTCATGTGAAAATTAAAACTAATTACACTGGAGCACTAGAGAGAAACCTTGGATACTTCACTTCATATCGCTTAGACAAACAGGGAAGAAGAAAGTTATGGAAGAACACAGAGACTGAGGACATACATGTTATCACATCTGTCCAAACCAGGTTTCTAAAATGAACTTTTTTTAAAGAGAAAACCACACAAAGACTGGGGAGTATAACTTTGCTTTAAATGTTCAATTTAAGTATTATTAGCTCTAGGCTAAACAGAGCACTGAATTTTCTTAGAATGTGAATACAACCTGTTTATGTGTGTTCCTCTAGCTCTTTTTTTTCTTTTTGTCAGCAACAAGGGAAAAAGCTATCCAGTTACGTACAAAAGAAACTCCCTATAAGGTTATATGGATGATGAAACTACCTTTAATGGGACTCTTCTGTATTCAATATTAACATTAGTGATGTATAATTAGATTGGAATCAAGTGGATCAAAATCTCTATAAAGCATACTCCACCTAGCATACCATCTGTACCTGCCATTCATTAGGAGCCCAAATATGAAGTTCAGACTAAATGTACTTGGTCAAGCCAGTCCCTTGAAGTTTGAGGTGTTTGACTTGAAGCATCTGAACCATTCCCTTTGTTGGCTGCCTCAATATTACTCTCAGCCGCTTGTGCCAATGTTTCCACAGCCAGAATATTCTCTTCCAAAGGATTCTCTTCTATCTGGATTCCTCCACTTTCACTGACAGCAGCATCAAAAACTGAATCTTCTTCTGGTGGTACCAGTTCCATGTTTCTCACACCTTCTGACTCATCTTTGTCTCGGGGATACTGAGAATCTGCACTGATTTCTGTGGTTGCTGGGGGAATCAGGGCAATGCTCTGAGGGTTCATGTCATGAAACCAAGCCATGATATTGCCAAGAAGATTGTCATTGATGTTGGAGTCCTGGCCAGCTGAGTCAGGGTCACTGGATGAGGGGCAGAAATCACTTCTTGCTTCACTGAGAGGGTGTGAACTCAAGGTGTCAGTTGAAAATGGGTCACTTTCTGCTCCAAGTCTCATAAGGCTGTCACCAAATTCCAACAGCTCAGAACTACTCAATGCAGCCCGTGGGCTATCTGTATTCCTGGAGACAGAGTCTAGCCTGGAAGGTAAAGAAGTGCCTATTGCTCCTAGGGATGCTTCATTATTCAGGAAGTCTCTAGTTTCTTCATCAATGGTTAGCCCAGACTCTTGCAGTGACAACTGAATTGCAAGAAGTATATTGGGATCATCTTCATCTAAGGAACTCAAAGCCTGAGGTAACAGAAAGTAAAACCACATTAAAATACGACTAAAGGAAAAACAATTTAACTGAATCAGATTTGCCATTCTTCCTTTATTAAACAGATATTACTTTTTATCTATACAAATCATCTTATAGATTCATATTTTCTAATTTTCTCTTTGTCTATGTTAAATGGGAAAAAATAACCTAAGATAAATGTGAAATATAGGAATCTTTTCTTGTACAATGTCTTTGAAACAAATTATATTATAATGGAAGAAAAAAAGGGAGGCAAGAAAAGTAGACGTAGGACACCACACTACACAGAGCAAGGGTAACAACATGGGCATGAGGCTGCTCAGCAAGGCTACCTGAAGAGAGTCCTGGTTTTCAGAGCGACTGGCAGGGGTGTAGTCACGCAGAGAGGAGCTGTGCAGCACACTCATAGATGCAGAACTTACCACGGATGCGCCTGGCCTGCGGCCACTGCCACTCTCTGGAATATCTGCTTCAAAGCAATTGAGACCACAGAAAATCTAGTGACAAATTTATCCCTTTTCCCATACATTTTGTTATTTAACTTGACAATTTCTCATTCAGTGCCAGGAAAAACCTGTGTCTGTATACATGTTCACTTGATCTTTCTGGTATTTCTCAACAAGTTAGTTTCACTGTAAGCAGTAATACACACTTATTACAATCACGTGGATCCATGCTTGCTTTTACATGTTTGTACTTTATAAGGTTTTTGTAAGTACAGGGCTACATTCATTTTTCTTAACTTACAACAGTCTTCAGATCCCTTACAAATTTTGGGTACTACAATATCCTGAAGAGCAAATCTTTAGTACCTGACAATATAGTTTGTATATTTTCAACTAACAATTTAACACTTAAAAAGTAATTAAAATGACTCTCTTTTTTTTTTTTACATTAATTTTTTTTTATTTGTGAACATGCAAAATGACTCTTTCTTTAAAGAATATCTCTAGGAAAACTATAGCTCGGAATATTCTGAACATAGTAACAGTATCAATAGCTATAGTTTTATTGAGTGCTCATGAGGTGTTTTTAATATTTTACTAAATTTAGTGTCCACAATGAGTCTACAAGGAGATATTATTGCTTTCTTTACTGAAGGTTAGAGAGGGTGACTTGACCAAAGTTAGACAGCTAATTTACAGCACAGACAGCATCACAGACCCAGATAGAGGTCTCCTCTGCAACCTGCATTCTTTTTTTCTTCTTTTGTGCTGGTACTGGGGCTTGAACTCAGGGATTCTGAAGGCTGGTGCTTTACCATTTGAGCCATACCTCCACTTCCACGTTTTTGGTGGTTAATTGTAGATAAGTCTCTCACAGATCTTCCTGCCTTGGCTGGCATAAAACCGCGATCCTCAGATCTCAGTCTCCTGAGTAGCTAGGATTACAGGTGTGAGCCACTGATGCCTGGCCACAACCTATGTTCTTATTCCCTCTGGTTTTCAGTATCCCATGACAACAGAAGCATCTACATTTTTATTATGAATCTAAATTACAAACTTGCAAACATGACATCAATTATTTTAAAAACTAACTGAGGAGAACTAAGCAATCATGTGACATCCCAGAGCTTACCTAAAGTGCTTTCACTGGGCTCGTCAGCCTCTGGAGGGTTACTGAGCAGACTGTGCACATCTCCTCGACGACGCTGCTGCCTGTGCCTTCTCCGGTACTGAAATTCAGCATATTCCTGCATAAACCAAAGGTTATAAAATACAGGAGAGCATGCAATTTCTTAAAATGCAAGTAAAATAACTATTCTTTTGCCAAAGTGAAAACGCGTGATTTTATACATATTATAAAATCACTTGGCTGTACAAAAGGAAACTTCAAGTTGTGTCATGGCAAGGAAATGAGAAGAGCAAGCAAAAACCAAAAAGATAAAACCAAAAATTCAAATAACCATTACAAGTGTGTCAAGTGGGAATATTTGCAAACCTCAAAACTAGACAATAACTCAGTGTTAGTTCTTATGCCTGATGTTATCTAATATTATAGCTAAAACAAAACCACTTTATTACCTTATGTTAAATCTAATTTTTAGCAAATGACTATGATATATGAAATGGTGGGAGGGAGGGGAACACCAGACTACATATATAGTGTTGGATACTTGGTAGACATTGAACTTAATGGTCTATGGTGTTTATCTCACAAATCACTAGATTAAAATAACAATGTTAGGTTACCTTTAAAATAAGATTATTACTGGGCTTTCTTTGCTTATTAGCCAATAGGTAGTGTTATATACAACATAAATAAAGTGTTTTTGATTTAGCATGTGTAGAGAGCCTAGATTAAGACAAATGTCTTTGACTAATATATATTTGTGGTAACATGTTAAGGTAGGGTTATTATTCCCAAAGTCTGTATTCCCTAGTCTATACATATTCACTATTATCTGTGTATAAATGTACTTTACCAGATTTCAGTGACAGAGGAAATGAAAACAAGAGATAGGTCAGGGTGTGTGACAGCCTAAGAAAACTAATTTAGAGAACCACTGTGGAGTCTCCTAGTTATAAACATTACAGGTTGATGATTATCTCAGTTATTTGAGGAAGTTCAATATAATTATATAGAGCTTTTACACACAAGGCAATCCCCCTCTCACTGAGTACACTCTAAAATTTATTTACATTTCTTCCTCTATCTGGGTTAATGGATTCTAATTCTAATAGGAAGCATCCTACTAAAGTAGAAACCAAACTTCAATTAAAAAAAGTAAGTGCAGAAGAAACCTATTATATTTTTAATTATTTCTGATTGAAAATGTCCTTCTCTCATGATACAAGAGATTTAAAGGAAAAAAAGTATCTGAAAATTTCCAAGGAATCATAAAGTCCTTTAAGTAAGTGCTTGAAAAGGCTTAGTCAGGATGCTCCAAGTGATGGAAGAAATTAAGGCCACAGAGAAGATGAAAAAACTTACACTGGCTGGGTATCAGAGGCTCATGTCTATAGCCCTAGCTACTCAGGTGACTGACACCTGGACAACCTTGGTTCAAAGCTAAATTGTGCACAAAAGTTTGTGAAACTCCATTTCCAATTAAACAGCAAAATGCTGGAAGGCAAGAATAGCTCTAGTGGTATAGTGCCAGCTATGAGCAAGAAAACTAAGTGAGAGTGAAAGGCCAAGTTCAAGCAAGACCTGTTACTGGTGCCTGTGTGTACATATACACAAAGGAAGTCTTAAGATTTATAAGAAAAAAAGCTGGCAGTGGTTTTTAAAATTTAAATATAACAACCAGCATTTACTGAGCACCAATTTCATTAATACCTTAATGAAATACTTTTCTCTGGGGTAATCAAGGAAGTCTAAGAGCTAGAAAGATGAGTTAGAACTCAAATTCACATGTCCTACAGACTAAGACTGCTCTTTCCATTGATTTCCACTGTCTTGTGACATGACACAAATATTTATGTGTAGCATGACCTCATTAAATTGAATTCAAAGAGAGTAATATTGAATTAACTTCAGTGAAAAAATATAAATTCAATCTAAAATTCTATTGGAGTTTCGTAACATTTATTTATTTCTAGAATCCGTATTAAGGAAGAGTTAGTTTTAGAAGTATAATTCTGATAGTTACTTGAGATAGTCATACAATATATAAAATTTGAAAATCTCACAATATGTGGTAATTCTTTAGATTCATAGTAAAGTTTACATAAAAG